TTGATAATGTACCTCTTGCATAAAAGACAAAGTCTCTAGTACTGCCGATGGGAGAAATTGACAACGAGCGTCATTTCCAGTACTTTAGGATGTCCGCCGGGGCATTCGATAACCGCCATTGTTATTTCTTCTTCATGTCTCACTAGAGCTACGTATCGGGTAGTGACAGCAACACTGCCCCCACGGTTTCCGATGGTACTGCTCCGTTTGGCCCGTATCCGTAAGCTTTATGGAAACGTGCAGAAATACGGACGAAATAAACGCGGAGCACGGACAGAAGGCTCCGTCCGTATCCGGATCCGTATTTAACGTTGAGCATAAATGGGCCTTTACCCGACCACAGCCTTTACTGATGCAACACAAAGACAGTTTTAAGATTCAGCACAAACTGCTGCAGTCGTTCCTGATCACAGGGCCTTACAGTCAGTGAGCTCAGACAGAGCTCCTTGAGCTCAGCCCACTGACTCTCAAATCTGTGTTGCCCAATCAGCAAAGTGACCCCTGCATGTGCTGATAGTTCACCTCACAGAGCAGCAGCTCTATCAGGAGAGCAGGAAAACACACAGACGGATTTGCTCAGGCATGGAGTCCACCGCTGGTTTCTATGGCCGTACAGTAAACCAGTTAATTATTACATCAGGCTGCCTGCAGAATAAAGTCACTGACTGAGCTCCTGATACAGAGAGCGCTGACTTTTAGTACTGAAATCAGTATTTCGTCTACTAGTGTTATTTAATACTAGAACTATTGTTAAAGAGTTCATTATTATGCCCTATTTATTCCTCTGCACTTACCTATTTTTTTTATTTTAATGAGTATTTACAATGCAGTTATTGCACCTTATTGTTGTCATGTCCATGTTGAATGTCTTGTTTGCTATATGTTCTTTACTGTGCCTGGGTTTGTGAGTAACGACATTTCATTCACTGTGTGCGGCTGCATACAGTGAATGACAATAAAACTGAAATTTAATTGAGAAGAAAAACAATCATCATCATCGTTAGAAAGTAGGGCGTACACATATCTAGTATCTTAAAAATTATATACAATTCATCCATAAGCATTTTCCATTGTGCCAAAATTAGGGCTGCAACTAATGATTATTTTTCAATTTGAATTTCAATTTCATTTTATTTATTTAAAAAGGGACAGTGCATATTAATGAACATATACATGTCAATATGCCAGATTATAGCCGTAGGCTAGTTTCCATCTGTAGTCCCTTGGCAGGTTGATAATACACCAGGTAAAATAGAAAAAGAGAAAAAAGAAAAGAAACAAAACATACACAATACAAGTATTCATTCATTCATTCAAGACATATACAATACAAGTACACAGAACAGAGTACAGAGACCATTCGAGTTAGTGTGCAAAAGAGGAAAGTGCTTACCATAAAGTGCTGGTGCATGTAAATAAAGTGCTGTTGCATAGATAAACTATATATTGCACAGATTTAAATAAATACAAATCTAAATTGCACGATGCCCTTATAAAGTGCTAGTGCATATTAGATAAAGTGCTGCTGCGTGACAGAAAATTAACCAGTACTAAATGAAGGTTGCACATTGCCCTACTACATATTACTAATAAATGGTACAGTTATAAACATAAAGTGCATACTGCATATTAAAGTGCTCTGAGTTTTCTCATGTATTAAACTTTTAATCATTTTCTTAATTAGTTAATTAATTAGTTGTTTCGTTTATAAAATATTAAAAAATGTGAAAAAAAGTCTTAAACTAAAAGGTATTTAGTTTAGTGTCATAAAGGAGAAAATAAACCAGAAAATGTTCACTTTTAAGAAGCTGGAATCAAATAATTCTGACTTTTTTCTCAACTTTTTTCAGTTACTCAAACCGAATCAAATTATCAAATTATCAAATTAGTTGGCAATTAATTTAAAAGTTGTCAGTGTATCCATCATACGAATAATCGTTGCCGCTCATAAATCATCCATTTCTTTTATTTAACACCCAAAACATTTTGTTCTCGCTCTAATTTTCTAACCATTGTTGGAGTTCAGTCTTGTACCAATTTCTTGTTTTTGCCTTTTTGCTTATAACCAATAATATCTTAGTTAAATATCTATTATTATCAATGACACAACCATTTATATTTTCAAGGTACATGTATTTGCATTCCTTAGATATTGCATATATGTAGTACATTCACTTCTAATGACTGAGATGTTCAATAAACTCACCCTAAATAACCTCTGCAGTCAGTTCAGGCCTCAGCAGTGAACCATGTGTTTACTGTGGCTATAAATAAGTTGTTAAGCAGAAGCAGTCGGACCCCTTTATAATGCCTGATTATTATTTCTTCTTATGGTTCATATCTGTGTTTTAAAATTTTTGGCTTTACGTTTTCTTAAAGTATACGAGTATTATCACATCATGACCTCTGAGTCTAATGTGGTGATGAGTCGTGTGTGCATTAGTCTCTGCCAACAACTGGCTGATGTTACACCTCTGGATGATGATTCTCAATATATTCTCTGATCTTTTGATATGACATAGACTTTTTGTTATCATCTGTTTTTCTCCTTATGTTGAGAGGAGATCCGTTGTACGAGCCTCGACTTCTCCTGACACATCTCTTATTTTTCTACTAAATGGATTTTATTCAGTTTTATGTATCTTCAAATAATAATGAATAAAATAAAAAATAAAATGAAATCTATACTGTGGACACAGTTTAGAGGGATATATTGTACTTTTCACTGCACTTCATTTATCTGACCACTTTATATTAATAATACCAAATATAATCAACGAATAAAAAATGTGGTATCTTTATAGGTTAAGATTAGATAAGACATTATCAATCCCCAGGGTGTAAATTAATTTATCCAGCAGCATATGAAGTCATTAAAAGGAGCTCCAACTTTATCAGCTGCAACATTATAGTGATCAGCAGTGGTGGAGGAAGTATTCAGATCCTTTACTGGTGAAAAGTATTAATATGACACTGTAAAAATACTCTGTTACAAGTAAAAGTCCTGCACTGAAAATGTTATTTGAGTAAAAATATGTAAGTACAACCAGGAACATGTACTTAAAGTATTAAAAGTGAAAGTACTCAATGCAGAAAGTAAAATGGATCCCTCAAAATAATAAGCAAATCCTTATATTTGCGAAGCAGAAACCATTATTTATTTTCTTCCAATTAATTTTCTGCCAACTGATCGATCAACATTTCATTTCAGCTACACTTTTATATTTTCACATGTTTTGTGCAAAAATCTTAATTTGTAAAGTAACTAATAACCAAAGTTATTAAATAATTGTAGTGGAGTGATGGAGTAGAAAGTGGCATTAGATTAAAACACAAATACCTCAAATTTGAACTTAAGTGCAGTAAATGTACTTAGTTACATTCCACCACTGGTGATTAGTGTTGATATTAATGCATCAGTAATCATCATACAATCATATACAGTAATGTGTGTTCTGAAACAGGCCGTTCTGCATAATGAGTACTTTTGGTCCTTTGACTATATCCTCCTGAGACCCTGTGTCCTCATATGAGGACATCACATTTTGGGTTTTCTTGACCTTGTATATCATTCAACTTAGTTTCTATATACAGACTCTACATTCAGTGAATGTAGAGTCTGTAGGCAAACCCCGGAGATCTTGCCTCTGGAAGAAGAGCGGAAGAGCCCTGGTTTCCGGTCGTAGGCTGTTTGTGATATTGACCAATCACGTTTGAGCTGGCTGCAGTTGTTGCCAGGTTAAACGGTCCGTGCGATGAACTAACAAAGCGGAACATAATTGGCGTCACTGCAAACTCTGAATCCGTTGCAATGGTTCAGCATATTTATTTATATATAAACGGAAGTCGGAAACGGAAATTCGCCTCCTCCGCCCAAATCAAACTGGAATGCCAAAAAATCGGGGGTCTGCCCCCAGAGGCTGTATTGCCGTCTGCCGGAAGTCAGACGCCGAATACAGCCGATGGGTTCCAAGAACGCATTCAACTTAACTCATTGTCTTCGTCCGTGGACACTTTTTTTTGCCATCTAGTGGTAGTAAGAGCACAATACACTAATCCATGTAAAAAAACAAAAAAAAAAAACAAGATGGCAGCCATCTCTGCCAAGTCAGTCTGCAGCCAACACAAAAGTGGACAAGGTCCAAAACCTGATCACATTTAATGGTTGAAATGTGTTTATTTATGATTAATAATGTTTGTAGTTTGATGTGGCAACAAAGTTGACTAATTTGCCACTGATTGCCCAGGGCCCCAATGAGAGGGGGGCCCTTTAAAAGCTTGGAATAAAAAAGTTTGGTTTTATTTGCAGCTTTTTATTTCTAATTAATTAGTACACTAACTAAATTAAATGAAAACTAAAAAACTTAAATCAGCTGAAAGACCGAACTTTGAATAAAATAATAGTGAAAGCTCTCTAAAGCCTGTCTCACCCTTTAAAGGCGCAAAATGGTTCAGTCCACCCTTGCACTAGGATTAGTCTCTAAATGCAGCTCGAGCCTAGTGGCAGCATTGTAGACTGTTTCCTCAAAAAAAAAAAAAAAAAAAAAGGGAAATCCGGATTTCATAAAGGAAAACTAATGAAGCAAGGAAATGGAAAAAGCTCAAAAGGTGTGTGTGAGAGACAGGGATCAAGAGAGAAAGGGCGGGAACCCACAGAGAGGGCTTATGCACAGGGCCCAGAATTTGGTGCTACGTCCCTGCTAGTAACAGGGTGTTTTAACACTTTTTTGCTTTAGTAAAACATCTTCTTCATCCACTGTAAATAACCAGCCATGACACTAAAGAAACAGAAGTTGTGCCCAAAAAAAGTAAAGTTCACAGCACAGCGAAGAAAACACGAGACAAGAGACAAGATGGCCTCAGTGCTGCTGATAAAGGCAAAACCCAGCTATAATGCTGCTGCTTTCTCTGATGTCTCATGCTGGGCAGTGATGCTGAAGCAAACTGAAGCCTGACCCGGGTCAACCTGCACAGACTCTGGTTTTCTTTCTGTTTCTTACCTTGACGAACAGAGAGATGTCAGGCTGGCTGGGATCAGCCGGCGCAGCGCTGCTCTCATCCAGAGTGACACTCTCCAGAGTCTTCAAGCTGTAGTCGACACACTCCTCCGGTGTGCTGTCAGTGTTGGGGTGTGTGTACGACATCAACATCCCATCTTCCGCGTTATCCTCATCCTGTACCCTGGGCTGGATCGGCGGGTCGTCGCACGGGTCTCCGGGGGAAGCGGAGGATGCTGAGGAGGCCGAGGAGGAGCGCCTGGATCCGCCGTGCGCCTCGCCGTTCACTTCCTCCACTTTCACCTCCTCCACCACTGGCTCCACATGCACCTCAACCTTTTCCTCTGCTTTAACCTCTTCATCATCGCTGGATGAGGAGGAAGAGCTTCTTTCTTTGTCCCTGGTGTCCATGTAGTCCGGGGAGCTGCGCTCCCCCTTCGCAGAGACGTGGACCTGCACCTCGCTGTACAGCTGCTCCTGCGCTTCTCCTGGGTTCTCAGATCTGGGCTCTCTGTCGGGGCTGTCGGCTCCATCGCGGCGCTCTTCGTGCTCACTTCCGTCAGCAATCGTGTCATAGATGTTGTCCATGTCTGCAGTGTTTTTTCCCGGCGGATCAGGAGGTTAAACGTGGAGGAGGTGAGCTGCAGTGGTCACAGTGTGGCGCACAGTCCGTCTGCCTCTGACTGACTGAGCACCTAGGCAAACTCCAGCGATAACTCATAGGAGACCTTTGATCCTGCAAAGTTAACAAGTGATTTATGCAAAAGTTGAGGCCTGTGCCTTCAAGGACACGCTGGCACAGGGGAAGTACAATAGGGCTGGCTGGCACACACATATTTTCTGGCGTTTTGAAGGTCACAGAGACAAATATGTCGAAATGTTTGATTTGTTAAACCTGCTCTCCATTCAAAGGTCTGAAAGTCACTGTTTTGGTGAGGGTAACACTTCAGTTTTATGGTACAAAAGTAAAAAAGTAATCTGGCAATGATACACATGGACAGAATATTAGACAACGGGCCCCTGGGCACCGATATGCAAAGGGCCCCACCACCTCTCCTACACAGGAGCAAGACACAAAGTTTGTGGTGGCTTTGAATCTCTTTGTCGTCATTATGCATCTGTCTGTGTTTCTCTGAGGTAATTTTGTGTCGTTTGTAATCATTTTGTCTCCTTGTGGTAGTTTTGCCCATTTTGTAGTTTTGTGTAGGAGTGCATATCATATCATTTACGATAATATCGGTATAATTTTTAATATCATATGAAACATTGATATCATGATACTTGTAGACATATTGAGATCATACTGTTACCCACGGCAACAACAAGCATGACTGGAAGCGAAATTATTACCGACTCCGTGGTGGTTCCAAAAAGAGGAGCAGCTTCAGTAGTGTGGAATAAACTGTGGCGTCCTGAATGTTTTATGAACAGCCCCGGACTTCTCAGACTATTTTAGCGAGTTACCGCTCAGAGGGAACTCAGTCAGCGGCTCCTCTGGCAGCAGCACAGCGTCTCTCCCTCTCCTCTCCCGCCATGCCACACGGGAGTCTGTGTCGTCAAGTTGTTTTTTTATTTGTGATTTTTTTTTAAGATTATTTCTTGGGGCTTTTTGCCTGGGGGGATGACATGCAGCAGAGGGTTGCAAGCCGGAGTCAGACTCACAACAGCCGCCTCTACACATGGGGCACCCGCACTATCCACTAAACTACCAACTAAACTTTTGTCAATCACGCCCCAAAGCTATGGAACACATTACCTATAGATATCAGGGAAGCTAGCTCGATAAACTTTTTAAAAAGAAAGCTAAAAACGGATCTGTTCACCTTAGCCTTTAACTTGCTGACTGCCTGAGACAGGTCTGAAACTCTTGAAACTTATAATCTTACTTGTATACCTACGTGATGCTCGCGGCTTGACAAAAAACTCCATATATGTGAATGTGATAGTTGTGGTATCATAACAGCCTGTCACAGGTTACAGCGTGATGATTAGAGGAGAAATGGCAGAGCATAAAGGTCCAGGTGGAACTTTTTTTTTGCATTTGGGAGCTGTTTAAATGTGTAATTTGTGGTAGATTTGATTTAGTTGAACTATTAATATTGTAACAGAATCTGAATCTCACTCTGAGTTACTGTTGTTGTTCACAAACTAAAGAAATTAGGTTGTTTTCATTTAAGGCAAACTGTAAAACTAGATCACTTACTATGTTGCAGTTCTGTTTTCGTTCTGTGTCCGAAATCATTCACTACTCCCTATATTATATATTATTATATATTAGTGACCATTGGTTGTACACTACTGTGGGATACTACACTGCCTGGCCAAAAAAAAAGTTACCACCAAAAAAAAAAAGGTCATACACTCTAATATTTCGTTGGACCGCCTTTAGCTTTGATTACGGCACGCATTCGCTGTGGCATTGTTTCGATAAGCTTCTGCAATGTCACAAGATTTATTTCCATCCAGTGTTGCATTAATTTTTCACCAAGATCTTGCATTGATGATGGTAGAGTCTGACCGCTGCGCAAAGCCTTCTCCAGCACATCCCAAAGATTCTCAATGGGGTTAAGGTCTGGACTCTGTGGTGGCCAATCCATGTGTGAAAATGATGTCTCATGCT